CACAATGAAATAAAAAAATGTTGGGAATCTATACATACACTGTAAAAAAAAAAAGGGTAATATATACCCAACTTTTACCCAAAGAAGGTCGAATTATCAACTGCCTACACCGTTGGGTTTTTATTGCCCAATGGTATTGGTCAAAGATATTTACTAATATATTGCGGAAATATTTTTACTCAACATTTGGTTGTTGTGCGATTACCCATCCATTGGGCAAAGATGTTTACCATTAATTGGGGAAATATTTTTATGCCCCGCGGCGAAGCCGAAGGGGCATACTGTTTCCGCCTTGTCCTTCCGTGGGTGGGTGGGTGGGTGGGTGGGTGGGTGGGTGAGCTTGTCTTACATACGCAGTGTGGACTTCCGAACAAAAGACGTCCACATAATGTAGGTAGCAGCGACGAAGTGTGGACTTGCCCACGTCCACACAGTGTTTCCCCATTTCTGGAAAACAGGTTTAGAGGCATTTTTGGGTTAGGTTTATCAGTAGCAGAATGAAGAGAAACACTAAAGGGAATCATTGAAAAAAAATTGGGTTGTAAGAGTTTTCACAGTTTGAGAAAAATGAGTTTTTCCACTGGTGTTCCTTAACTACACGAAAAGAAAGGAAAGTCCACACTAGGTATGTGAAACAAGTCTGGGTGTGTGGGTGTGTGTGTCCGGACAAATCTTGTCAGCGCGATAACTTGAGAAATACTTTACATATGAACTTCAAATTTGGTTTGTGGATTGTCCTTGGTAATCCTAAGAAGCCTTTTGCATTTGGGGCCGAAAGGTCTAGGGTCAAGGTCACAGTGGCTGAAACAATAGAAATTTTGTCAGCGCGATAACTTGAGAAATACTTTACATCAGTGTTGGAGCAAAGGCTTTGACCCTCAAGGCCAAGGCCAAGGCCAAGGCTAAGGCTTTGACCCTCAAGGCCAAGGCCAAGGCTTTGACCCCCAAGCCTCGAACCAAGGCCAAGGCTTAACCCTCAAGGCCAAGGCCAAGGCCAAGGCCCTGTTTTATGTAATGACCACTGATATAGAACTAATTATAGTCACATGAGTGACACATTATCACGCAAGGGCGGATCCAGAACACAATTTGGGGGGGGGGGCAAAGAAATTTTGGTCCCCCCCCCCCAAAAAAAAGGGGGTCAAAAAATTATGGCTTGGGCTTCGGGGCCCGCTTAAGGGCCCTGAAAATTGTTGGATTCGAGATGCTCTGTGGTGCGATTTGAGGCAATTTCTGACCATTTTAACCGATGTTTTTTTAGGAAAATATGGTGGCGTACTCATTGCCTGCCTTTATTACGACGTCACAGAAAAAAAAAATGGTTTCGTTTTTTTGTTGGGGGGGGGGGGAAATTGGCCCCTTTTGGCCCCCTGGATCCGCCCTTATCATCACGAATTGCTCGTTACGAAGAACAACATTTCTTTAATTGCAATCAACATGCTCGCATAGGCCTACACCGTTTTATGACTGCACTGTATCTATTAAAGTATAAGTTCAGGTCTTCAATATGGTTTAACTAAACAAAATAATGATTTACTTCTATATTGACACACAATTCTCCCAAGTGTAACAAAAGGGGGATCCAAGAAACTGATTTGGGAAATTTTTATTTGCTGGCCCAACATGGTCAGAAATATCAGCATTATCTAAAACAGATACATGCAAATCTTTAGCACTTATCAGGGAGACATATATACAACCAATCAGATCTATTCCATAGTTATATGCAATTAAAGTGATCATCTCATTAGCCCCACAAGTGTATGGAATATTTTTGCAGCAGATCTACTACAATGGTAACAACATGTGATGCTATAAAAGTGGAAGTGTGCCCAACACACAAATCTACAGGGTGCTTCCCTCCTCCATGGTAATACGATTAAAATGGTAACAGCAAAATTTCGAACAGATTTATCTAGAAAATGCAAAAATCTATGGGCCTTGAAGAGCCTTGACTCAAAATTGCAAGGCCCTGAACCCTCAAGGCCAAGGCCAAGGCCAAGGCTTAAGCCCTCAAGCCTCGAGGCCAAGGCCAAGGCCCTAAAATCCAGCCTTAAGGCAGCCTTAAGGCCAAGGCCCAGCATCAAGGCACTTCATCACTGCTTTACATATGAACTTCAAATTTGGTTTGTGGATTGTCCTTGGCAATTCTAAGAAGCCTTTTGCATTTGGGGCCAAAAGGTCAAGGGTCAAGGTCACAGTGGCTGAAACAATAGAAATTTTGTCAGCGCGATAACTTGAGAAATACTTTACATATGAACTTCAAATTTGGTTTGTGGATTGTCCTTGGTAATCCTAAGAAGTCTTTTGCATTTGGGGCCGAAAGGTCAAGGGTCAAGGTCACAGTGGCTGAAACAATAGAAATTTTGTCAGCGCGATAACTTGAGAAATACTTTACATATGAACTTCAAATTTGGTTTGTGGATTGTCCTTGGCAATTCTAAGAAGCCTTTTGCATTTGGGGCCAAAAGGTCAAGGGTCAAGGTCACAGTGGCTGAAACAATAGAAATTTTGTCAGCGCGATAACTTGAGAAATACTTTACATATGAACTTCAAATTTGGTTTGTGGAATGTCCTTGGCAATTCTAAGAAGCCTTTTGCACTTGGGGCCAAAAGGTCAAGGGTCAAGGTCACAGTGGCAAAAACAAAAGACATTTTGTCAGCGTGATAACTTGAGATATACTTTAGATATTAATTTCAAATTTGGTTTGTGGATTGTCCTTGGCAATCCTAAGAAGCCTATCGCATTGGGGGTCGAAAGGTCAAGGGTCAAGGTCACAGTGGCTAAAACAATATAAATCTTTTATTTATTCTGAGATCATAGGGGTTAGGGATTAATTCATATAAAACCTACAGAAGACACTGATGCTGTCAATGAACGTTCCATTTGACCAAGGTACATGTAAGTTGATGTTAGAGTGGTGTTATGTCATGGAAACAGTCACGGTTGTGGGGCATTTGTGTTTGTAAACACACCTGACTTGTTTACTCAACAATTGGTTGTCGAGACGTTACTCATCTATTGGTCAAAGATGTTTACCACTAATTGGGGAAATATTTTACTCAAGAATTGGTTGCTGGTCACTAGTGTTACCCAGGTGTTGGTTATTTTTTATATTCGCTCTACATTGCTTAAATTATAATTACCCAATAAATGAGCATTTTCAAAATTACTATATAAACTGGTGCAACTTTCACCAATTAATATACTTTTTGGGGGGGGGGCAGTGACATTGAATCAATTATAAATTGACAATATATTCACATTTTGTTCAATTGCGATGATTTTACTTATTACTATTTTCCCCAACTACTTCAAGGGAATGCCACACGAATTATTAATGATGACATTAAAACATTTTCTATGTCAATTTGTTTAATTTGGTAATAAAAATCTTTACAACCACCACATCAACATCTTTCTTTTAAATCATATAATTAACAATTGGAATCAATGTGAACATTACAGCATTAAGTTTTAGATCACATTTAACAAACACTGAACTCTAAACAGAGTTGTAACGAGTCACTGATTTTTGTGAAGTGGCTCGAGTCGAGTCATTTGAAAGAAGTGACACGAGTCGAGTCGAGTCATTAGGTCAAGAAGGTCGAGTCGAGTCAAATATTTAGCTTGAGTCAATTCAAGTCATGAATATTTGAACACTGTATACAAACATTTATAAAAGGAGGGCATAAATTTAGCCGACATTCAAATCCAAGAGCTTTATAAGGAATCGCCCAAAGTCAAAGATGAAACAACGAATTGGAAAATGTGTTTCAAATCCTTTTCCGGTTCCTGGATAGTATTTTGTGCGTTCTAGAACCACGAGGTGGGAGTCTATGACAAGTTGTATGTTTGTACCTGACAAGCGGCTGCTGTACCCTACTGTACATGTATAGCAAAGTGACGTGAACATAAATGTTGCACCGTTGCAAATACTTTTCGCCGCATTTCTTTATTTTGGGACTTGAGTCTTATTAGCCTACGTTCAAGTCAAATCGAGTCTTTTTGATGAGAAACTCAAGTCAAGTCGAGTCATTTGTTTGCAGTGACTCAAGTCGAGTCATTTACCCTTAGGGATTCGAGTCAAGTCACCAAATATTGTGACTCGAGTCGGACTCGAGTCGAGTCAAAGACTTGAGTCATTACAACTCCGACTCTAAAAACTGTAGAATGTAATCAAACATTTTTACGTTATCAAACATTGTGATTATTGCAGCAACCCTGTTCATGTACATGTATTACTTACAATCTATGACAGTAAGATAGATATTGGCTTATACAGGAAATTAAATTGAATGTTAACTGTTTGCTTATTTACCATGACAGAAGCATTCTAACTACAGAAGTTGGAAGAGTAGGTTTTTTTTTACATGTATGCTCAACTTTATTTGGAATTTCGTTACCTTTATTTGTATAAGCGTGAAGGGTAAAGTTGACTTTTACCCCTCGGATTATTTATTCGACATACAGTGTGTATAAAAAAAAACGATACAAAATTAGGGAAACAAATATTAAAAATACTAGCCGCTAAAACTTGACATCACTTTTGATCGGAACCCTCAAATAACGCAGAACAAAAATTAGGATAGGGAAGAAAGTGTCTTTTTCTCAATTTATGGCTTCAATTATAAAGCAAATTTAACCCATCGAATACTTTTTACACTTAAACAAAATAATCTTCCAATGTATCATTTTTTTTATACACACTGTTTGATCAGTTTTCAAAATATCAACTTTGTAATGACAACAGTTTTTGGAACATTTTAAAAATTAACAATTTTGATATGCAAACTCTTCCCCCCCCCCCATCACACACACCCACACACACACAGTCGTTTTTTGCTATGCTTCCGAGGATTGGCTTTGTGTTTTCCTTTGTCCCTGTAATATAACACTCTCCCATAGACTAAGCACACAAACCTGCGTTCGAGGACAATAGGCACTTTCCTTCGAGGATCAATGGCCCCTTTGTGCTCCTTTTGTTGTCTGTCCTCAGGCGTAATGCCATGCAGGAACATACCCACACACACACCTTGCTGACCTTCAAGTTCACACCTTCAAGTATGGCTGGTCCAAACTGGCTGCTACAGATATAGCTGTTGCTAAGGGGTTGCGGGCAGCCTTAGCAACCTCTTAGCAACAGGTGTAGCCAAAGCTGCCAATTGGGACAGGACCTTTATCTCAATTGTATCTAACGCTTGCTTGCCATCCGGTATGCCTGCAAGTCACGTACTACAGGTTGGACCTGTCCTGGTAGTTCATAGACAACGCACTGCAGAAACTCCCACACTGCTTTAATCTGTGGCTGGTAGACTAGACTGAAAACATAGTGGGACTTGAAAGCTGCATCAACTGCCTGGAGTAGTGTGGGCATCATGATTGCGCAGCGTTCAATCACCACAAAGACTTGGGTGGGATGGAGTTTGTTCCTGCCAACTAAAGCAAGAACAAACAGCTGCGGTCTTTCCGATGCATTTATATCCTCCAAGTATCCATCGATGTTGGTGATTGCCTTCAAATATAAAACACATTAAGAAACTTGACCAGACAACTGTGTGCTGAATAAATGGTATTCCTATGACATATAAACCGACAGCAAGAGCAGTGGCGTATCCAAGTGGGGGGGGGGGGGGACCTGTCAATTGTTGGGAAGGAGGCATAATATGCCCTTCCCTCCCCTGGCTACTTTGGCCAAGAACTTGTTTAAGTGGTAAAGCCGATCACTGCCAAATGTCGACTTAGAAAGAGTGTAATGTCACATGAAACTCAATGAAGCATTACATTTAATTAAATATGACCACAACTGGCGAAAGGCACAATTATTTTTGTTTATTTTTTTATCATTGAAAAACGGAAATGGGTTTTAGCACCATCATCAGTTACCCCTGTGATTAATATTTAATTTGGATTATGCAGAAACCAATTTGTGTTTGCAAAGTCCTAATGAAGTTGTCTACAGAATGCAACAAATGCAAAATTCCCTTCTCTGACCAAAAAGGCCCCCAGTGGTGGATTATGACCTTTTTGCTAGTGAAATAGGTCCATGTAAACATTTTGTAGAAGTTTAATTTGTGGGGAGCATCCCCCCCCCCCCCCCCCCCCCCCCCCGGCTATGCCACTGGGTTTTACCTGTTCCCTAGCACTCTGTGCATGACAGTCCACACATATGGTAGTATTGTTGATGAGTTTCTCGTTGAGAAAACAGTCTATATTCCAGGAAAACATGACAATTGTATAATGCATGTTATGCAAAGACTTTTACCTGTTGAGAGAGAATTTACATCTAGCACATGTGACAAGCCCAGAAGTTCTTTCCAGGTAGAGTTCATCACCGATGCATAGAGTATGACTGGTCGCAACAAAATTGTAAATTGTGCAATTTTGGACAACCAATATTGACAACTGATTATGTATGAGGTATCGTCAAAATATATATGTATAACATGGTTATTTTAGATGGAGAGTAGATTAAGGAAGCAGCTGGACCCTGTTAGACTGAGAGCTGGATAGGGTTTAATCAAAATTTTGGGAACAAATCCCCTGATTGTCTTAAAGCATAGTATCATCGACCCTGATCACAGAATGGCCATTCTTAAGTTTTGCTAGATCAGACAAAGGCCCATTGGCGTCATGCCAAATGTGGCCAATTTTGCATTTAATCAAAATTTTGAGAACAAGAACAAAACCAGTATCATTTGATAGCTTGGAACTTGTAGATTACAGAAATATAGCTTTAAGAGCAATTTTAGATCAGACTAAATAATTAACTTAAGAGCGGCCTAAAAAGCGCGGAGGGTGGGCGTGGCCATCACCCCCTCTTTTTCCTTTTCGCTGATACCGTTGCAACGCAACAGTAAAGGAGAAAATGAAAGCAGTTTGTATTGATGCCTTGGCACTTGTGGAACATGAAAATATTACTTAAGAGGGCTTTTAGGTCAGACTAATTACCTTAATACCGGCGGGAAAAGCCAGAAAGGGGCGGGGTCTCAACCCCCCTCCATGTACATTTTGGCTCCTATCGTCGCAAAGCATTTCTTAAATCCTGCCAAGTTTCTTTGACAGTTGTTCAGATGCCTTGCGGTTATTTTGACACCAGGTTTATGAAAATGTGGCATACATGTACCTTCATCACAAAATGTCCAAATGTTAACTTTTCCCATTGAAAAGTACATGCAAATGAAAGCGTGCATCAGAGTGCCGACTAACATATCAAATGGAAGCTGTGCAAATGTACTTCAAATTAAAAATGGGGAAATGAAACATTTTTTATTGATGCCTTGGCACATGTGGAACATGAAAACATAATTTAAGAGTGACTTTTGGTCAGACTAATTAACTTAAGAGAGGTGCGAAGAGCGTGGAGGGGGCGGGGCCGCAACCCCCTACATGTACATTTTAGCTCATATCGTCGCAATGCACTAATTCAATTCTGCCAAGTTTCTCTGACTGTTGTTCCGATGTCTTGCAGTTATTTTGACACCAAGGTTATGTAAATAGGGCATACCTTCGTCACAAAATGTCCAAATATCAAAACAGGTATGGGCTTAGTTAAATGCTAATTTTCCATTACATGGAGCATGTAAGCCTATAACGTACATCGGAGGGTGCATGAGAGTGCCGACTTTAAGTAATCATGACAACAAAATATTTTAACAGGTTGAATTGAAACTTTACAGATGTACGACATATATTAGGGAGTCCTGTCATTACAGATATCAACATTTGCTTAAAATAATGGGTAATTATGCAAAAGCACAGGTAGCAGTAGCTGGCGAATTAAAAAACAAATTATAATGTACATACATGTATCAGTTTGGGGTTTGAAGCTAGACATTGAATTGAATCTTAAGGGGCAGTGGGTGGGCTGACAGGGCTGTTAAGGTCAAATATCGTAACCAGTTGTGCACTTTGAGCCTATAAAAGCATACAACTTTGCACGTTGGTTCGTCATACACTGAATATAATGATCGGATGTGAGAAAATTTCACACTTGCCCTGTGGTGACTTTCCAAAGGTCTATTAACGGTGTATACCCTATTTATTGATATTTTAAAGAACCAAACCCTACTTTTCCATGACCCATATCTAAACTCTCGATGTGAATTCTTGCCACTACATGAAGTTTCAAATGTAGGGAAAGTTCATATCTGACCCATGGTGACGTTTTGAGGTCAGCGAGCTTTATGTACCCATTTCCCACTACTACCTTAAAATGCCAACTGTTCATGTCCCAAGTCTAAATAATGAATAGAAATTTATATTTATTCTGTTGTTCTATACATGATGTCATGAATTCAGATGCAGAGACGATTTTTTTTTCTTCAGAGCATCTGATCCCCATGTCCTCTGTTTCATGCCGATGCAGGTGCAACAGAATAGAATTTTAAGAGGCAATCCAAACAAACATGGCAACAGTGCACCAGCGAGTTTGGTAAAAGGGTTACAAAATGTTACTGGTTATCGCGAACGAGAAATAATGTTTCATTGTTAGGTAAAGCGCATTGGCTACTTTCATTCCATACAAAGATCATAAATCAGTCACAATCTGTTGCTTTGAATTTAAACACTGCGCCCCCATGCACTGCAATAACTAGACATTTGTCTCATTAATTTTGTCAAAAACTTTCCAGGCAGTATGGCCCCCCCCCCCCCCCATCAAGCAAAACCATATGCTTATGCCTTTGCTGCTATAGCACTATCTCACACCAAGCTTTGAATTTGGCATCTCGGTCCACAGCCTTCCATCCAGTCGTATCATTTTCGCGGCTGCCACTAGAAAAAGAGACATAGAGGTCAGAGGGCACCCCATTGTCTAATTGGGTCTGAATTTATAACAGGAGTGTAGAATAATGCCGTTCTTTTTATATAGTTGTGGCTTGCTTCACGGAAAATGTTACATTTTGACGAATAAAAATTATATATAAGCGAGAAGTTAACTAAGGTATACAAAGTAATTTGTCCCAGCTGAGGGCAATGGAGGTCTAACATGCTCTTTCCACATATGTTATTATTTAATGGACACCAGAATAAGTGTAGTACATCTGTAAAGTTTCAGTTCAACCTGTTAAAACGTTTTGTTATAGTGGTCAGTAAAAGTCGGCACTCTCATATGCATGCGCCCTCTGATGTACGATATTCATGTTCTATGTAATGGAAAAGTTAGCATTTAATCCTATTCCTGTTTTGGTATTTGGACATTTTGTTAGGAAGGTATGCCCTATTGCCATAAACAAGGTGTCAAAATAACTGCACGACATCGGAACAATAGTCAGAGAAACTTGGCAGAATTGAATTAGTGCATTGCGACGATGTGAGCTAAAATGTACATGGAGGGGGGTTGCGGCCCCGCCCCCTCCACGCTCTTCGCACCTCTCTTAAGTTAATAAGTCTGACCAAAAGTCACTCTTAAATTATGTTTTCATGTTCCACATGTGCCAAGGCATCAATACAAACTGCTTTCATTTTCTCCTTTACTGTTGCGTTGCAACGGTATCAGCGAAAAGGAAAAAGAGGGGGTGATGGCCACGCCCACCCTCCGCGCTTTTAGGCCGCTCTTAAGTTAATTATTTAGTCTGATCTAAAATTGCTCTTAAAGCTATATTTCCGTAATCTGCAAGTTCCAAGCTATCAAATGATACTAGTTTTGTTCTTGTTCTCAAAATTTTGATTAAATGCAAAATTGGCCACATTTGGCATGACGCCAATGGGCCTTTGTCTGATCTAGCAAAACTTAAGAATGGCCATTCTGTGATCAGGGTCGATGATACTATGCTTTAAGACAATCAGGGGATTTGTTCCCAAAATTTTGATTAAACCCTATCCAGCTCTCAGTCTATGTACTTTGCTAAGATTGCATGAAACATTTTTCTTGCAATTACCATGCTGTTACCTACTGTAAGCCATGTGCTTCAATCAGTTGTGTCACAAGTATTGCGGTCATCTTGCATCGGTCTTGCTTAGTCAGGCACTTGTTACTACTCAGGCGTTGCAAAATGCTTCTCCCACACACTGACTTCTTTAGAATCTCCTCTGCCTCCTGTAAAAATACATATAAAAACATAAAGGTCAAACACATTATTAACAAGGGTAACATTCAGAAGGGTGTGTTTCCCTTTATCTTCAAGTAAACTTGAATCACCAATCCTGATTGGACGATCCATGGCAACAAGCCCTGCTACATAACCATGTAGCACGGCCTCGGTCCATGCTGCACTCCCAAGGGCGGATCCAGGGGGGCCAAAGGGGGCCATGGCCCCCCCCCCCCCAAAAAAAAACGAAACCATTTTTATATTTTTTTTATGTGACATCGCAATAAAGGCAGGCAATGAGTACACCACCATCTTTTCCTCAAAAAAACATTGGTTAAAGTGGTCAGAAATTGCCTCAGATCGCACCACAGAGCATCTAGAATCCAAAAAAAATTTGGGGCCCTTAAGCGGGCCCCGAACCCCACGCCATAATTTTTTTGGGCCCACTTTTTGGGGGACCAACATTTTTTTTTGGCCCCCCAAAAAATTGTGTTCTGGATCCGTCCGCCCTTGTGTACTCCGCGTATTGCGCTATTCTAAGATGCGTGCGCCGTTCCGTGCAAAATCACACACGTGTAATAGGATAACCGATGAAAAGTTTGTGTACTGTGTGCATTGATCTCCAATTACTAATGGAGATCAAATTACATGCGTGTTCCATCTTTACTGTGCATCAAGTTTGCTTGAAGATAAATTTGTTATCCCGCTTGCGCTCATAGAACACAGAAAATGTAGTGCGTCTATAGCTGTGTCCCACATACATGTACCACGAGGCCGTGTTCCACTCGTGCTCGTGTGATAACTAATATTAGAATATTGTTTATCATATCCGTGTTTGTAATTGCCTAAATTGATGTACCTCATCCATAAATAAAAATGAGAAAAAGTACAGCATATTTTAGCGGTATGAAATCATTTCAAGTAACAAACCAGCATTGAATATTGTTAATTATCCCGCAAGCGCAAGTGGAACACGGAAGAATGTGTCCCACTTGCCACGAGGGCACATGCCTCTTAGCATAGCACAATACGCGGAGTGCGGTATGGACTGTGGCTGTGCTACATGGTTATATGTAACACAGCTTGTTGCTATGGATCGACCAATCAAGATCCAGGATTCAAGTTTACTTGAAGATAAAACACTTTGTACATGTACTCACCAATCCTTCCATACGATTTTTCCTTTTTCGTGGCACTGTGGATGTGGATACCGTAGAAGAGTCTTGCCATAGTGATTCTGGCTGAGAACTTTCCCCGGAAACATTAAACAGCTCATCAACGTCTCCAGTAGTTGAAGAATCACTTGGTCCTGTGATTTCCTGTGATTTCTCCCTGCTGAAACTGAATAATCAACAAAATAAATTAATGCAAATAATTTTATGCAAGTATGTTGATAGGCTACCGTTTGTCATCCACACCCATTATGCTTTGAGAATGTGAAAAAGGTTTATTTGAGAATAAACTTCTCTACCAATCAGTGCTTCTTCTCAGTACCAAATATTTAGAACAAATAAATCATCAAACAGGTTGTGGAGCACTGTGGCCTTGTTGTCCAGTCACAGGACTCGGTATCTTGTTCAGATATTCTACAAATTGTGGGTTTGAGACCATGCAGTGCAAGCAGAAACCAGTTGCCACAAGTTGTTTCTCTCCACCCAGAAGTAAATGGGTATGGAAGAGCAGTGATCATGACTGATTAGCCCATGTGTGCTTAGCCTGCAGCCCGGATGTACATACTACCGAGGGAGCTGATCCTGCTGAGCAGGGGTCCGGTAACAACCGGGATCAAAGTGGATATGTGTGCTTTACAGATCTACATAATCAGCGTGCAGTTTTTGATTGGTATTAGTTTAAATAGTGTGCATGCGTTTTGCACTGATACGAAACACAGTCGTTTGGTCCAAACCAATGAAAAGCTCTGATTTCCTTGCTCCGCCCTTAAGCTTCACCCACCACGAACATAAGTACGTCTCCGTTTGTATCTCACAATAGACCTTTTCAACCGAGAATGATAATTTATGCAAATAAAGAACGTGAGGCGGAAGCGTAAGCGGCCCCATTGGAAATAGTGGGCCAATTCGCAGGCTGAAACACGCGGGCCGGGCGCGAATCTTTTATTCCCAAACGACATCCGCTTTCCATCTTCTGATTGGTCTATTACATGCATATCTAATGCCTTGTTCTCCACAACACAAACCCAAGGTAGGCTTTATGTCTTGTAAGAAATGTTCCTTCATCACTTTACTTATTTAAAAGGTAAAATGAGAAGAAGTGAAAAACGCTCACTGGGATTGGAACTCAGATCACCTGATTGAAGTCAGGACTTCTTCCAACCAGTCCACGCATCAGCTGCCAATCATCTGTGGTTTAAACACTATTATTCCTTGTTATATAACTTTTTCTCTAAAGCCCTGGACATCATGAATATGCATAACGCAGAGAGAGCGCCCTCTTTTGATATTGTCCGATCTCGTTTGTGAAAAGAAATTTTGCTGGCCAGGCAAGCTGAGCCAACAGGCAGACAAAGTGGTTTTCACATTTCTTAAATCAATAAATATGTACATTAAAATGTATATGTCCCTTCTCCATGATCTGAGAAAGAAGACCCCGAAATTAAATTTGAACTACGTATTTTATGTGGCCAATTTTTTTTTTTCTCAAAAATTAAAGAATTGATATTTTGTACCCTTCATGTTCAGTTTCAGGTTCAGTTTTCATTTCATCAGCATGAAAACAACAACAAAAAGATCAGTCAAACAAAATCAAATACAAATAGGTAAATTTAAATATATTGTAATACAGCAGAGGGAAAGCAAGGTTTATAGTCATTGGTTACAAAATGTTTACATGTATATGCATTGAGACGGTAATAAAAGAATGTAATCGAACCGTAGAGGTCCGTGGCCGACTCGGAGTCGCAATACCAACGACCAAAATATAAAAGTAGGTCTCAATGCACATGCATGTTTGCAAAGAAAAAATGAAGTAAAAAACAAACAATTAATATTTAATGTAGCCCTTGCGAAATTTATGTTCAGATTAGTAACATTGTACATGTATTTGAATTGTATTAGGTTATAAAATTGTGTGGAAATTATAATCGAAGGACAATTTTTCGCCAAGCAGGATCATGTCCCAAGCAGGATCATGTGATTGCAGAAGATCTAAACAAAATTCTCAACCAAATTCACCAAGAAAAAAGGCAATCATTCCCAGGGGCGGATCCAGGATTTTCAGAAAGGGGGAGGGCGCAAAGTTCAAGGGCCAAATGCGTGCACGCAGTCCGAAGCTTTTTTTTAGTCACGACGTACATATATACTGCATGGAGTCAATTTAAAGAGAAGATACAACATTTGCAAACATCAAAAAACGAAATCATCAAATTATCACGAGATACCTTACTGGACTGTTAGGGACCGACAGTCTAAAGCATCCTTTAAAATCGTGGCTCCTGGTGTGCTGACATTTTTAAGAAAAACTGTATTTTTCCAACACTGGTCGGCCGACCAGCCTTGGAGAAAACTGGCTTTTTTTCAAAAACTGTTCCTAATTTTTCATATTTAGTTATTCCGACTTTTCTTTGCAATTGATTATACACCTGTGAATGGGTACAAGCCTGTAAGACTGATTCTCTGACCTTACAATTCCCCAAAGTGTAATTATTGCTCCGTTTCATCTTAAGTGGGGTCAGGAAACCAGACTACAAGAACATGATAAGTTTTCTTGGTTTTTCCAGCTTCTACAAGCCCAAAACGTGAAACAAGTCAGTTTAACAATATTTTCTATGACATACTAATCCTCCAAATCAATTTATTTCAGCAAAAGCAAATGTTGTACATTCCCTTTAAGAAGAAGAAATCTATGGATAGGCATTTCGGCTTTTCGTATACGTTATTTGTTAACCTGTAGAAAGGCAACGAAAAGTGAAAAGGCAACCATTCCTATACCAGACCCAGACGTTATTTCTAAAGACTAAGAAAACTATGGACAGGCATTTCGGCTTTTCGTAAACGTTCTTTGTGATTAACCCGTAGAAAGGCAACGAAAACTGAAAAGGCAGCTATTCCTATACCGGACGTTATTTCTAAAGAAGACGAAATCTATGGACAGGCATTTTGGCCTTTTCCTATACGTACTTTGTAAACCTGCTAACCATAATATCCACCACCACGTCAACCTGCTCATCCCCAGTCACCACCACGTCAACCAGCTCATCCCCAGGCACCACCACGTCAACCTGCTCATCCCCAGGCTACACCATGTCAACCTGCTCATCCCCAGGCACCACCACGTCAACCTGCTCATCCCCAGTCACCACCATGTCAACCTGCTCATCCCCAGGCACCACCACGTCAACCTGCTCATCCCAAGTCACCACCACGTCAACCTGCTCATCCCCAGTCACCACCATGTCAACCTGCTCATCCCCAGGCACCACCACATCAACCTGCTCATCCCAAGTCACCACCACGTCAACCTGCTCATCCCCAGTCACCACCATGTCAACCTGCTCATCCCCAGGCACCACCACGTCAACCTGCTCATCCCCAGTCACCACCATGTCAACCTGCTCATCCCCAGTCACCACCATGTCAACCTGCTCATCCCCAGGCACCACCATGTCAACCTGCTCATCCCTAGGCACTTAGTGGATTTTTGCAGGTTGAGGATGAGGCCAATTCAACTTCACCTGCTTTCTTTCTACAAACCCCGTTGTCACCCGATCGACCATCCGGCGCCCACTACGTCTTGGCCAAGGGGGGGGGGGGGGCCACTGGGGGCCATGGCCCCCCCCCCAAAACGAAACCAATTTTTTTTTTTTATGTGACATCGCAATAAAGGCAGGCAATGAGTACACCACCATCTTTTCCTCAAAAAACGCTGGCTAAAGTGGTCAGAAATTGCCTCAGATCGCACCACAGAGCATCTAGAATCCAACTTTTTTTTTTGGCCCCCCAAAAATTGTGTTCTGGATCCGCCCTTGGTCTTGGCTAGTCCCCCACCTTCGTTGGTGGCTAGTCGAGGCCCACATAATGCAGGGCCGCGTTTTCCGCCTGCCCCGCCCGTCAGTACTTATAACGACCGACGCGTCAGGGTACAGCTGGGGGGCTACCCTCCACCCGCGACAGGTGGCGGGCGTGTGGGGCGCCGAACACCAATCATCCCACATCAACGTCCTGGAAATGCTGGCAGTCGCCAACGCACTAAAACATTTCCAGTCGGACGTCAGAGGGCAGGCAGTCCTGGTACGATGCGACAACGCCACAGTGGTGGCATACATCAATCACCAGGGTGGCACTCGGTCAGGCCGTCTGTGTGCACTAACGTGGGATCTCACCCTCTGGTGCATACATCACGGGATAGCACTGTCGGCAGTCCACATCCCGGGCGAAGAGAACGTCACAGCCGACGCTCTCTGCAGAGGCTGGATCGCCCCGACAGAGTGGTCACTGGTCCCACACGTGGCTCAGTCGATCTTCTGACTAATCGACCGGCCTCATGTGGACCTATTCGCGTCGCAAATGAACAATCAGCTACAGATCTACTGCACGAGGGGTCCAGATCCCAATTCGTGGCAGACCGATGCGCTGGCGGTGCGGTGGGACGGCCTACTGGCCTACGCCTTCCCACCCATCTCCCTCGTTTCTTGAGTGCTGACCAAGATCGTGCAGGAGGATTGCCGAATCCTCCTCATAGCCCCGTTCTGGCCCCGCCAGCCGTGGTTCCCCCAGCTCGTCCGGCTCTTGGTTCACCGCCCGGTAATTCTACCGAGGAGGGCCGATCTCCTTTATCAGCCCAGCTCAGGAATCAGTCACCAGGCTCCGGAGGATCTTCACATGACGTGCTGGGTATTGTCACGCGATCCCTCTGCTCAGCAGGCCTTTCGCGACGAGCTGCAACAATTGCAGCCCAGTCCCGCAGAGCCTCAACCAGAAAGGTGTACGATAGCCCACTACGCCATTTCTTTAAATGGTGTAGACGGCAATCTATTCATCCCCCCAATACTTCTGTAAGGGAAGTTGGGGATTTCCTCCTAGACCTTTTTAACAGTGGGCTCACGACGGCCACGGTCAAAAATTATCGATCCACCGTTGCCACGATTCATCAAGGGTTTCCGGACGGTTCTTCCGTTTCCGGCAACCCTGCAATCAGCCAACTGATCAAGGGGATGTTTAATACTCGTCCCCCAGTACGCACATTAATCCCATCTTGGGACCTCTTCAGTGTACTATCCACACTGGCGAAGGCTCCTTTTGAACCAATGGATTGCTCAACTTTGTTACAACTCTCCATCAAAGAAGTGTTTCTCCGCGTTTCCCTGTGCCCCGAATATATTAGGAATATACGTTTAAAATATGTACATGTATGTACATATCGTGTATACATGTACAATGTCGCAATCAATTGAGTCGGGTCACAGGTATGGCCAGGTTAGCAAATCGATAGGCACAGTGTAGTCTGTGTTCAAGGCTGATGAAGCTGAATTCTAACTGCAGTTATCAATGCGGGGGAATTGGCCCCGTTGACCGCTCGCATGTGTACAATTGGGCTCGGTCACGGTTGAATTTAGTACTCTGACAGCTAGTCGCCTGCAACCATATATCCCATAGTGGAGTTTGTTTGCAGTATGCTACAGATACAGTCTTATTTCAAGTCTAATAATCACTTTATAATTGATGTATATAATCAGCTTCATGTTAAGAAAAAGTTGAGGGGAGAAAATTGATGATGTCACCAGACCGGAAGTTTAAATAAAACAACCTTTAAACTTTAAAGGGAATATAAAACATTGGTTTTTGCCGTAATTTTAGAAGTGGATGGTTTTAAGTATTTAACAGCAAATATTGTTTCACTGACTTTTTTGAGGTTTTGTGTTCGTAGATGCTGGAAAAACCAAGAAAAATAATCATTTTCTTGTAGTCAGGTTCCCTGACCCCACTTAAGATGAAACAGAGCAATTTAAAGACGTCAGGGAATTGTAAGGTCAGGGAACCAGTCTGGCTGGCTTGCACCCGTTCACGGACGTATAACCAATTGCAAACAAAATGTGGACTGAATGAATTTGGTAAACTAGGGGCAGTTGTTGAAAAAAGTCAGGTTTTTCCAACGCTGGTCGGCTGACCAGTGTTGGAAATCGATACAAAAATACCACCTTTCTTGAAAGTGACAGCACACCGGGTTCCATGATTTTACTGGATGCTTTAGACTGTCATTCACTAACAGTCCAGTAAGGTATTTCATAATTATTTGGCAGGTTTTTTTTTTCAAGTTTGCAAATGTTGTATATTCCCTTTAAAACATGCTGAAAAATCAACCGCTAGAGATATAATCCACACCTTTGCATCAAATAGCACAGGTGACATGGCTCTCCAGCTTTCTGGTTAGCTCGTCGCTATGACGTCATCAAGTATCAGATTACAAGCAACCAATGATTTCTAGATTTAGTCTTTGAAAATCAATCTAAAATCAACAGTGAGTGATCTGATTTTTTTTTTTTTACGGGAATGGATAGAATAATCCATGGTTCTTATTTTTGATATAACATGCAAAATCGTGTGATCCTTCTTTTTGGTTGAAACCAGAAGTGATTTGTCATGTTATTTTCAATTTGTAAAAGATGTGAAATTGCTTTCAACAATGTTATTCTGTGGAAAGGGTGGGCTTTTCAAAAATCTGACCAGTGACGTCATGCATTATTCCAGCGCACTCTGGTGGCAGGTGATCACGGGTCTTGTGATGTAGTCTTAAAGGTGCATATATATGTATGTATATGTATCTAAAGAACCATAGGTCCGATTCGATTGAAACGTTGTACATGCATAAGGGACGTGTTATTGATAAAAAAGAATAATGCGGAAAAGCCCTATGCTCTGTTGCAAACAGACATAGATCTCTCATTTGTACTTGTCATCAGTGAACAACAGTTCACGTAAAGGCGCCTATGGCTGCCGGCCACATCGACCCATATATGACAACGGAGCACAGCCTGAGATCAAAAGTGTTTGATTTTTCCGGTGGAAGGAAAACTGGAGGGTCTGGAGAAAAACCCTTGTGTCACAGGAAAGAACCAACGCACAACAGACTCTACTCACATGTGATCTGCGGCAACAAAGTAGAACATGATCAAAATGTTGTGTTACTTTACATTTAAATAGCTGTGATGTAGTCTTAAAGGTGCATATATATGTATGTATATGTATCTAAAGAACCATAGGTCCGATTCGATTGAAACGTTGTACATGCATAGTAAGGGACGTGTTATTGATAAAAAAGAATAATGCGGAAAAGCCCTATGTTCTGTTGCAAACAGACATAGATCTCTCATTTGTACATCAGTGAACAACAGCCGCTTTGGTGGGAACATGTGGGGAGTGCGGACTAAGTGTGCCATGTACTTCACTTGAAGTCCCTGGACAAACTTCAATATAGGCCATGTCTTGCAAATGTCGTAGATGGCTTTGTTGGAGTGGATAAATGCATGCTAATTCATTTTTTTTCCTTTGAAAACCTCGAACCATTTGCCGTAAGGAACGACAGTAGGCTACGTTGATCCTTGTTGTTTGCTGCAAGTTTACGGTTCAGTTTTGAGCAGCATAGCATAGCGCAGAACGAACGATTGTATTTAAGAGCATGGCACGAGTAGTTAGCCAGATGTTACGAATAAGGAGAAGATGTTGATGCTCATGAAACTTTATCTGGGCTAACTGAATGCGGTACGCTACTTCAACATCTCCTGTGGATGGATCACTCTCGGTGAGCTGGACTCCAAGGTACCTGAACTTGTCTATGTTGATAAGACTATCCTCACCGATGGAGATGATTGTAGTTGGATAACGTTGATCTGTCCCTAGATGCTTATATCCCCCAAGCATTGGTTCTGGTTCTGTTGATCGAGAGACCGTATCAGCTGAACACATCATCCAGTAGAGAGGCAGTATTTTGTAAGGCCCCGATACTTCACAGGTACACCACAAGATCGTCTGCAAATCCAGACCATGATTGTATACATTTTCCGCGTGTGGGGTTGTCGATAGCTGTACGGAATTTTTGCACGATCGCTGTGGGAAACCGCATTGTTGTTATGCTGGAAGCTGTATTCAGAGAAATCGATCCCGTTTTCCTTCTTTGTAGCTTCAAACATGAAGGTGCGCATCTCGAAGTCAAGGTAAAGGTTGAAGAGGAAAGGTGACTCGGGTCCACCTTGACGTACACCAGACCCTGTCGAAAAGGTGACATCATCAAGGGTGTTGCTGCTTTTTTTATACAGTTTTTCCAGGAGGTCTATCAGCGCTGTTTTTTTGTGCCAGGCTGAAATCGTAGGCAGATGGAGTCAAAGAGCCATTTCCGCACAATATGATTGTTGCAGATTGTCACCAGTGGTTTGTGGTCTGTGTGCACATGGAAATCGGTGCCAAACAAGTATGAATGAAACCGGGTGATAATAAGTACAGTCGGCTCCCGTTATAGCGAAAACGGCTAGAACGAAATTCCGGTTATTACAAACAAATACCTTCGGTCCCGACAAAATTGTGCACATGTCTATGGGGAAAATTTCGGTTAAGACGAAAACGGACGGTACGAAATTGCTGTTAAAGCGAAAGGTTTTGGCGACCTGGTTGCGTAAAAATGCATTGTTAGCGACCCATTTATAACGAAAGGTAATCCTGGCTCACGGCTTTTTTCGTTCAATTTGAAAGCAGTACAATGTATTAGTAATCAGCAGGTGTCCGTCTTGTGTGAGTAGTTTCATGTTGCC